TTTTTTTTTTTTTTTTTTTTTTTTTTTTTTTTTTTTTTTTTTGAGACAGAATCTTGCTGTATAGCCCTGGCGGGCCTGGGCTGTTCACAGATCTGTCTGGCTGTTTGTTCATCGTAGGGATTTGAAATTTAATTTTTGTGGGTCTTTACTAAGACAGTAGATCATTTTATCTTTGGCTGTATTCTGAAATAATTAAAGCAAGGACATGTAAAATGTACCAGCAAGTACAGACTTGGTGAGGCCTTTCTGTCTTTTTTATCTGAGCTCTGATCCCTGGGCTGGGTGACTTGGGTTTGGGTGTGGATGTGGGTATAGGTGCCATGCAGGTTTGGGTGTCACGTGTGGTATAGGCCAGTATACCCCGTTCCATTCAGGAAGTTCACAGAACTACTTTGGTGACCTTGTAATGGTTCTTAGACAATAGCTTCCTTGTGGTGCGGTCTCTGTTTGTGAATTTATTCATGTTCTTGTATGTAATACTGCCTCTGTCATGAAAGCTGTAAAATTCCTCAGAGGAAAGTGTTTATGTACCGGGGACGTAACCTGGTTCTACAGTGCTCACTCAGCAGGTAGATGACATGGGCACATTTTGTGCCTCATTCTTCCTGGTTACTCCTGACAGTGCCTCTGCTCTCCCATCAGTAATGACATCAGCTTAATGAGACCTTGACATTGTAACTTACTCCCCAGCCCACAGAATCTCATGTGTACCTCTGGATGTCTTGAAACTTGCTTTGTGTAGCGAAGACTGGCCTTCTGTTTGTAGAGATCCATTTGCCTCTGCTTCCTAGCCTGTACCACCTGCCCGGCTGAACAGTTTTATGCATTTAAAAATATATCTGTTAATAAATGAATAAAAATGGAATCAAATGTCTTAACTCCTGTCTCCTACTGTAGATTAATGCTCAGATCTTCCCACTAGGAGACTTCTTCAGGTCCTGAAGTGTCCGAAGAGCAGGCCTTACAGCTGGTCTGTAAGATCTTCCGCGTCTCCTGGAAGGACCGGGACAGAGATGTCATCTTTCTTTCTTCTCTTTCTGCGCAGTTTAAACAGAACCCGAAAGAAGGTGGGTTCTTTGTCAGGGTCCCCCCCCCTTGCACTTGTGTGTAGAATGTGAGACTCTGTGGGTCTCTGTCCCCATGGTATGGAACCGCACTTTTTGTTACAGGGCTGCTTCTGATGGAGACACACCTGTGTGCTCACTTTCTTTTCTTTCCACTGATCTGATTGCTACATGATTTTTTTTTCTTTTGAGATTTTAAAATGGGGTTTTACATCTGCATTCATATGCTTGTGCGTATTGTGCATGTATGTATGGTCAGGTGCCTCTCAAAGCCAGAAGAGAGCATCAGATCCATCCCCTGGACTTGGAGTTACAGATTGTTGGAGGCACATGTGTGGGCGCAAAGAACCGAAGTTGGGTCCTCTGGAAGAGCGGCAAACTAACTGCCAAGCCATCTCTCCAGCTCCAATATATATTAAATAAACAGATGGTTTTACTGTCTCAGGCGAGGTTTTTACCTTATGGTGGAATACTCTCTGAGAGGGCATTAGTGCCTGAAAAGTTGCATGCAGGCTGGCCCCGGGACTCAAGACAACCATCTGTGGCCTGCTGACTTCAGCCACAATTGAGAAGATCTCTTACCTTACTGCAGGTCCGTTGTCACTGTGGGCTTAGTGCTTACCAAGCGATGCGTAGATAGTCAATCCAAATCTTTTTATTAAATTACTTAGCAAAATGGAATATAATTATGTTTTGTTGTCTTCCTAGATTCTATTTTAAGAGATTAGCTGTACTAAACTATACTAAAGGTATTTTGCAGGCACTGTGGCGCAATATAATCATTTGCAGTAGAGGAGGGGTAGGGCCACATCGCTGGGATACAGCTGTCTGGGTTGTAGGATCTTTCGCCTTTTGCCCATTGAGGTCTATCCCTGATCTTCAGGAGGGCATTTGTATATGGAGTGCTAAAGAGATACGTTTTCAGTGCACAGTCACTGTTCACGGTTACAGTTCCCTTTTCACCCGGCCTGCCTTCTTCAGGGCAGTGGAAGTCCTGTGTTCCTGGAAGGTCGGGGGTTTCTGATGTTAGTGTCTTTCTGATGTTAGTAACTGGCTGGGAAGAGCCAAGCGACTGTGGGTTTTAAAGACTTGCCACACAATGCTCTCGCTCTTAACTCCAAGGTTATCACGATTCCCTTGTACACATCAACCATAAGTTTTAATGCTCTAACTAGGTGAAACTGACGTGGATCAGGCTTTGGTTGTTGGTGTCTAGGATGTATCTAAAGATCAACAGCAAATCAACCAGGAGCTACAAAGAACAAGAAAGAAACTAAACTGGGATCTGCTCCAGAAACCAGATGGTGACTGAATATGGAGCCCTTCATAGAACCTTTGGAGCTTGGACTTTCTTGCTGTGTTTGTCATAGTATAGCACAGGCAACTCTGGTAGGGACTGGTTTCTTTCTACAATAAACAGTCATCCGTGGTAGCTCTCCGGCTGCACTCTAACTTGGTTTAAATAAAATTTAATTTTGGATTAGTTTTATATTTACAGGAAAAAAATGAGGAAAATAGGAAGAACTTATGCATAACCTTTACTCAGTTTGCTCTAATATTACCTCTGTACAACTGGTCGCTCAGCTTCTTCTGATGTCATCTCTATACAGAGATGTGGTCGCTCAGTTTCCCCTAATGTTGCCTCTTACATAGCTGTGGTATGTTTACTCAAACTTGGAAATGACTATGGACTGAACCAGTGAGATGGCCCAGTGGGTAGAGGTGCTTGCCCCTAGGGATAATGGCCTGAGTGCTGTCCCCAAAATCTACATGGTGGATGGAAAGCTATCCTGAAAGTTGTCCTCTGATCCCTACATGGGCATGCATGTGCACATATATACACATAGAGAAAAATGTACAATAATATTTAGAAGAAAAAGAGGGGCTAGAGAGATGGCTGAGCAGTCAAGAGCACTGATGCTCCTTAGGGCCCAGGTTCAATTCCCAGCACTCACGTGGCTGCTCACAACTGTCTGTAACTCCAGGATACAACACCCTCACACAGATACGCATACAGCCAAAACACCAGTAAAGTAAAAATAAATTAGAAAAAGAAAAAGAAATCACTGGGAAGAACACCGGACCTTTGTTGGGGTTTCAGCTAATATCTTTTCAGTGTTGAGAACCCAGTACTGCCTAGCACATAGCATCACTCTGGTTCTGTTTGGCTTATAGAGGACCATGGAAATGACAACCCGTGAATAACCTGCTTTTTGCTCTGCCTTCCCAACAGTGTTCTCTGATTTTAAGGATCTGATTGGCCAGATTTTAATGGAAGTGCTGATGATGTCCACTCAGACACGAGATGAAAATCCGTTTGCCAGTCTGACAGCCACATCCCAGCCTATTGCCACGGCAGCTCGGTCACCTGACAGAAATCTCATGCTGAACACTGGCTCCAATTCAGGAACAAGCCCCATGTTCTGCAGCCTGGGCTCCTTCAGTGCCAGCTCGTTGTCTAGGTCAGTACGATTCTCTTGCACATCTCACTGGTAGTAAAAACAGCTGTGGAGAATGTTGAAGAGCTGCTCCACAGTGTTGATGTGTGTGTGTCGTTGATGTTACAGTGTCTTTAACATGCGGGGAAAGCAGGGGACAGGGTGGCTGTGGCCATTGCAGGTGGTGCTACCCTTCCTTGATTGAATTTCTTAGCCTTCTGTGGTTGGTTAGGTTGTTGACACACATGACTGTCTCTGCTGCATTATTCTTTGGAAGGGGTCATTGGCACCTCCACATGAATGTAGCAATTAGCATCTGATCACTTTTGAAATGCTTATCTACTTAAACTTTAGAGTTTATAATATGATTGTATTATCCTTTAAAAGCTGACGTTATCCATTTTTTGTTATCTCAAGTGTTTCTTTGATTTTTCTCTTCTTTCCTCCCTTTTCCAACTAATTTAGCCTCTATGAGACTAGCCCTGCTCCTGCTGCCAGTTTCTGGAGCTTTGCACCAGGGCTGAGTCCTTCCTTGGCCTCACCTTCCCATGCAGCCCCCCAGGTGGCTGTGCCTCCCGCATCCCTGAGCCCTCACA